CTTATGATAGAAACCTGATAGCCATCCTTGTCACTCTCTTTCCCTTTCATGTTCAGTTATCAAATCATGCAACTTTTTGTTCCAGATATACTCAATGTCATTACATTTAAAGTATTTAAAGTATTTTCTCTTTACTACAAATAGCCATCTAATTTGCATTTCTTGGTGATTTTTTTTAAAAAAAATCCTTAGATTGATTTTTAAAAAAACCCTCACAAGATTCAGAGTAAACAAAGGGTGAAGGGGAAGAAATAGAAAATAAATACAAATGTAAGCTGTTTTGCTGATGTTTTTATAACCACAACAAACAAACAGAGCAGGCTGAAGATTGTAGTCTCTGCTATGTGGAGAGTGCAGCCCTTAGTTTTTGACTGGATCGCTGAGTATGTAGAACAGTCCATGAAAAAGACCAAATTTGAATATGGCATTGAAGGCTTGGCCCTCGGGCAGGGAGAGAGAATTGCTTGATTCATCTGTCATGTAATAAAGTTCCCTTCCCCCAATGCAGGTGCAGGTGGCGTAGTCCATAACATCAAACTCATCCTTGAATTGATACGCAGTACTCTTCTCCATATTACATTTCTCTAGTGATTTAGTAGCACTTTCCTCCAAGTGTTCAGTGACTGCTGATAGTCTAATTTCTCTGTTCATCCCTCTTCTTTTACTTTCTGTGTAGGCAATCTTTGAGCTACTTTATGTATTATTACCATGGTTTTAGCCCATATTCTGCTCCTGAATTCTGGACTCATGAATCCAACTGACCATTGAACATTTCCAGGTATTATCCCCCGACACCTTAAATTGAACACGTTTCAAACTCAGTTAATTATATTGTATTTTGTCCTCAACCAACTAATTGGCAGCTTGCCTTTTAGACTATGTTTAGTCTTTTACTTATTCTTCTTGATACCCTTTGTCCTATGTATCTCAAGGAATGTTCTCTTCTTTGAAACCCCCTCTCTAATATCCTAGGGTTATCCTGGCGAGTCTCTGACTTCTGTCCTTGGGGAATAGAAAGAAGCATTTGACTCTTTGGCCACCTGCTTCTGTTATAGCCTCCTGACTTCCTGTTCCTAGTCATGTGTCTTCAGTTATCAGCACACAGATGTTCACTAAGGACTTAGAGTATATCCAGTCGAACGTCCCAAGCAGACTTAACAGTCAGAGGAGAGAGCCCAAGGAGAGGGAAACAGAAAAACAAGAGATGTCAACAACAGAGTAGTTGAAGCCTCAGAAAAGAAGGAAAGAATGAGAGTGATTTCTGACAAAAATAAGTAAGAATAGAGAGCTATTTCTTATATTATTTAACACTTTTTACTTACTTTCTTCACTTTTAATACTTGGTCAAGAGCATGCTTCACTAGGTGTATGTTTTGGAATTTGGGGACTTCCTGAGGTTCTGGTGATATTTAGCAGAGAAGTTTTGTTAGTTCATATCTCTTTAGTCAATACCATAATTAGTGAGTAGTTCCAAAGTATGGCATCTTATTAGAAGGTTACTGGATTTCACATTTAAAGCTTTTCCAGTTTATTCAGCAAATATCTATTAGATACTTAGTAGATGGTATTGTATTCCATGTTATAACAGGTTACCTCATGGGATAAAAGTGGGAAGGAGCTCAAGAAGGTATGGACTTGCCTTCTTTGTTCCAAATTATTTTGTCATAAGCAACTTCACAATGCCCAATGCAATATTACCCTGACAAAACATACAATAGATTATCTGGCCACTCTGCATTTGAATTGTTGGCATTTTACATGTCTTAGCTTTTTTCTCCTGGAAGGAAAGTCTTTCCATTCATAGCATACTAACTAAATGATAAAACAACTTTACTTTTAACTTAAACCATTTTTTTCCTTTGGACTTTGGTTGCTGATTAAAACGTTTAGCAATATAATTAAATGCAATTTAAATAGCTAATTAGATAGTGTTATAGACTACTTTCCAGTAATATATTCCTTTAAACAAAGTGTCCATCATTTATGGAGTGCAATTTGTCACTGGGTTACTGATACAAATACAATTATATGTTAAGTGGAATAGAGCATCCACAAATCTACTGTAGTTGTCTGTAAAAATGGCCATATCAATAACTTTTGAATAATTCTTACAGATCCAAAAAAGTGATGGAAAATTTAAGCCTACCCATGTTAGTTGACTTTGCAACTGTCTAGTGTTGCAAATCATATTTTTGACAGTGAAGACCCAGATTAAAGCTATGTCAATGTTTTGACAAAATCAACTGATGAGTTTAATCAACCGAATTGTCCACTTCGTCAAACAAATGCGTTGACAGAATGATTTGCTTATTTGTTGTTTCTTTGTTAAGTTAAATTGTTTTTTTTTTTAACTTAATTGGCTGGTTAAGTCAACATAATATAGCCAGATGAATTCAAAGTTTAGAGGCAGTGTCAATGTGATTTTTTTAAAAAAAATGATTATACCAAGTTAAGAATCAACTGTCTCTTAACAAATGTGGAAAAACCTAAAGTGTAACACATTGCAGAGATTCACAAAAACATCTCTACCATTCCATTTAAACTGACTGAAATCATGAAATTTAATTCCCAAATTGGAACATTTTTATTATTCAATGATTCTATTATATAAAATATAAATACATTAATGAAAATGTCTTTATCCATGAAAATAGAATCTTAATATTGAAAAGGACTTTATGTTTAAACACACATCTGATTTGTGAATGACAAAGAATTTTATTTTAGGAACACTAGAAATTCACATTTCAGAAATTCAGTGTGTATTTTGAGAATACACTACTATAATGCTGACACAAGAACTATAAAAATAAAGTTACAACTAACCTCTAATTATGTTAACTGTGTTTGATCGACGCTGTAGATGTGCTAGGTTCTGCTGTGACTTTGTGTTTATATATATATGTATGTATGCATGAGAAAGAGAGAGAGACAAAGATATTAAACAAGATGTCAAATGCCAATCAGAATGGAATTAACTGCGCAGTGTAGCTCAGTGACTTGGTGAGGAGTTATGCATGAAGTATATAATTGTTATTTTTTTTCATAAATACACAAATGAGGTAAAAACTCATGTCACTCTCAATTTTGAAACAGTTGGTATGTTTCATGAACTGAATCAGTATTTTCTCAGATTTTCAAGTGAAAATACTTACAAAATTTCTCTTTCCCTACCCCTCCCTTTCCCACTTCCCTGCTTTTTTTCCTTTTTCTCCTTTCACATTTCATGCTTAATTTAAAAAAGCCATAAGAAAAGTTGCATATATTTATTTAAATACATGTCTTTTATGTGTGTGCGCATGAGTGAGTTAGTCAACTATCAATGCAAATTTAAGCTATCACTTATGTTTCTCTATAACTGATTCTCTTAATGTGGAAATCATCTTATTTGACAGTTGGTAAACACTTCATTTAGAATTTCAATTACATGCTTGTAAAAGAAGACTTGAGTTTTTACAACAATTAAACATTTGACTTTCTTCCAGTAATGTACTGATTATGTTCACAATCTGGGAAAGGGAAACTGCTAAACTTGACATGAAAGTATAGTTTTCTGTATAAAAATGAAATATATATGTTCAGCAAATACCTGAAGTGAAATAACAAACTTGAAAAGCATATTTGCCACAAATATGAAGAACACATATTTAGTTTTCTTGCTATACAAAGAACTTTTACAGCAGCAAACTTTGCATAAATGTAAGCAAGCAATTCACAAATAAAAGAATTATAAAGGGCCAATAAACATGAAAATATATTCTATTGTAAAAATAAAGTAGTGCAAGTTAAAATGAAGATATATAGTTCTTCATCTATCAAATTGACAAAATTTAGAGGAATTGATACTATTTAATTTGGGAGGGGAAAGTTCTGTCGGCGGAAGTATACATGTTTATTGTTTTTTAAAAATATTTTGATACTCGCCACATTTGAAATGTGTTTCCCCCTTGACTCATCAATTTTATTTTTAGAAATATAGCATAAAATATATTTGGGTAATTAGATTCATTTCCAAAATATTATAGCCAAGTTGCACAGATAAGATATGTTTATATTGCTTGGCAATAGTATGACACAAAAACACCGAGACCTTCCTAAATGCCCATGAAGATAGGACCAATTAAATCATTTATATACACATATATGGAATGTGGCTATTAAAATAAAGGAAACAATATACAGATATGACAGAATTTTTATAATATGTCATTAAGTTAACAGATAAAGTAATGCATGATATCAAACAATATATGTAGTGTGATACTACCTGAGTAAAATTACCTGTGTAAATTAAAGAATGGAAAGACACATAGGATATCTGCTTTTGTATAGAAAACTATAGTAGGTAGGTCTCTACATTACTACTTTGTTCCCTTTTGACAACAGGAAAAGGGCGTGCAGAAGGAGCTAAAGGAGAATATAATTTTTCTCCATAAAAATGTCTATTTTTTTGAATAGCATGCATTATTTCTATAATGAACCCATAAAGTATGCTGAATGTGTTAATTATTGCTTAAACACTGAAAGTATGTTTTAAAATTGAAATAGAGTACTTTACTTAAATATCTAAAGGCAACAGCAGGGCAATTTTTTGGTGATGATTTCCTTATTGTTAAAAAAAAAGGAGAGAAAAGAAATAAAGAAACACCCCTGAGATTTTTCTGAGTATCTTACTCTATAAACTGGATGATATTTCCATATAGTCTGAACCTGACACACCAAGCCAAGGGTTTAATAGAAAATCCAGAGTACTTTTTTTTTTTTCAATTATAAGAAGAAAATATGAGATATAACGTTTTTAAGAAATAATCATTGATTAAAGAAAACCCTGTAAAGTTACTAAAGTGAGAAATACTATAATTTAATTAAAATGATACCTTTTAACTACTTATTTCTTGGTATTAGTTCACCCCAAACACTGGGAAGGCAAACGCATGCAATTTTCCTTTGTACGTGGTAAGATGGTTTCTTTTTCTTCCTCCTCCTCCTCCTCCTGGCAGCTTTCAGCCGTGCCCCCATCCCCATGGCCGTGGTCCGCAGAGAGCTGTCCTGTGAGAGCTACCCCATCGAGCTCCGCTGCCCGGGAACAGACGTCATCATGATTGAAAGTGCCAACTATGGGAGGACCGATGACAAAATTTGTGACTCGGACCCTGCTCAGATGGAGAATATCCGGTGTTATCTGCCAGATGCCTATAAGATTATGTCTCAGAGGTACGATGCTTCTATTATCCTTGTCTTTGCACGAACACTATAAACCTTCAACATGCATCCGCTTGACACATTGAACATAGGTAAAGAACGTAAACAGCCGCTGTGCATTCTAGGGTAATTTGAAATTCTTTTTTCCATATCCATCTATTCCTCACGTCACCAGAATGCTAGTATTAGAAATTGCAAATAGCATTCGGAAAATACTGAAAATTTTATTATTTATTAAACTTCATGATCTAATGTGAGTGCTGGTATTTTGATAGTGTTCACTAGAACTGAGTTCATTATAGGAAAAACTAATTGTATTTTTTACAATTTTCAAAAATGTAATTTTCTCCAAAAGTTGCAGGAAGTTTCTTTTATTGCTAACAGTTATTTCCTGTGTAGGAAAAAAAGAAGAAATAAAAATTAAATTAATAGGCAATGTTATAGTCATTAATTAAAATATAGTAAGTCTATTGATTAAGGATTATTTGGCCTTAGCAAATAATGAAAAAAATATTTTGCTATCTAGTGTATGAAATTAATTATTTTAAAACATTTAAGCTATCTAAAATATTAGCATAATATAAATTAAGGTACTATATAATATCACACTAGATAAGAAAAAGAAAATTTTATTCTAAGGAGACTGGTCAATAGGGATGCATACATACCATAGATTTAAATTATATTAAAATTTCTTGATAAGTACTATATGTTTCTTAAATATTTCTTCACTATTATCATGCTTTTTCAGAAATCAGTGATGAGGCCATTCATTGACTATAAGCTTTCAGCCTATTCTTTTCCTTCTATTATTTAAGGAGTTTTTAAAATATAGGAAAAACTGTAGCTTATGTGAAACTAAACAAATTGTAGCCTGAAAGCAAAACAATGGATTTTAAGGATTATCTTTCTTCTACTTAAGAAAGCCTTTCTTATTTTTAACTTTTTTTCTTCTTGATGCCTAAAATTCTGGTATTTTTGTGTGTGATTAATAAATTCACTGAGTCAATGTCTTATTTTTATAAATTGCTATTGAATAAATTATTAGTATAAATTATAATATGCCAAGTTTTTGATGACCATAGCATCTGAGGTAGAGTTGAAGGGTATTGGACTCTGGGCAAATCTGAGGGTTTTTATTTGTCTATTACTGTAATGATGGCTCATGCTAAGGTGAGTGCTAATGAGAAATAAGATTTTAAGATTAAGGATTCCATTTGATAGAAGTTTGGTTGCATTCTGTTTTTCTTCTATTTCTTTGTCATTGTCATATATTTGACATACTTCCAACTATACCTATAAACAATGTTATGCCTAAAATCTAATCATTTCATTGCATGTAGGTGTTGTACTGATCTTTCAGGAGTGATTTTCCATAAGTAATGTGGAGTGGGTACTATGACTAAATTGTTATTTTTATTTGTTTCAATCGTGTAACCAAATGTAGGATTCTTTAGAATCTGTTTGGAGTGTGGGTTGAGGAGGAAATTCTGCTTCTCTGTGATTAGGTTTTCATTGAAAAATATAATAGAAGCATTAACTTCACTAGCTCTTTGATCTCTTTATAATTTTCACTGGAATTGTTTTAATCTTTTCATTGATACTATTAATGGCTCCCCGAATAAGCTGTTAATCTTATAATTATTGCAAAAAATAGTTATAATGGATCCTTTGGAGCCAGTGAACTATATGGGATGCATACATAAAGTGACTAATCCGCAAGATAAAAATATTTTACTCACCTTAGTAAATCATTTGTGTGAGCCCTCCTCATGGTTCCTCCAGTAAGAGTGGTCAGCTGAAATAACTGTGGTTAATTCTCCATGGAAGCAAGTTTCTGTCTTCCATTTGAATTATTAAATGTACTACTTTTACACTTGTTCAAAGTTAACATTTTTGATTCTCAAAGAAAAGAAATAGGATTTCATTTGTAAGCCCCCAAGAGATGAGATGGCCATGGCCACGGCCACTTGAGCTGCTTTTAATGAATTTAGTTATACTGTCATGCCAACTACAGCATGTTAAATAGTGCCAATAATCACTAATTATGATATGGACACAACATGCTGAGAATGATATGGACAGTTTAAATAGATTAATGCATTAGAACTGAAGTCATAATAGAAAGCATTTTTTCTAAAAAGTACCTTAGATTAATGTATTTTCTTTCACTTAAATTTCTGGAAAGAGATACCAGGGTCTAAACATTTTGAAGCATGGTTTATGGGAGGATCATTACCAAGTACAAAATGGTTGTTATTATTACTGCATTCTTGCATAACCTTGTTAAAAAGTCTTTGTAACTTGCTTCAGCCTTAAACATTAGACAGATATCACAGGCAAGAAGAGACAGGAAAGTTGTTCATGCAGGTGTTTAAATACACATTGAACAAATGCATAAATTAAACTGTCTACTTACGTGTAAGTTAAGTGTGAAAAATTTGGAACTTGAATTGAAAAGGACATGACTTTTGATTTCCACATTTTTCTCTAGTAGCAGTAAAATAATCCAGGCTGGTATTCTCATTGGAGAAGCCACTTTCTTCATTGCTTTTCATAATGCACTGACTGTTCTCAAATCAAGTGTGTTCGCATGCCCTTCTGTCCAACCCCCCAGAATATTCTGTTTTACCTCCATTTCATTATCCTAGTAGAGGACTTGTTAAAATGTCAGAATACATTTAACCTTCTCAGAACTTCTAATCTTATTCATTATCATCTTTATCCCTCTTAATTGCATCTAAACATTAACAAACCTATAAGATTGCACAACTAAAGTAAATTGTCTTGTCTAAAGTAAATTGTAGGTTTCTAGAGGGCAGATATTCTGTTGATTTTACCAAAAACAGTTTTTGATGTATAAACAAATAAAGGAATATGCTAATTTTGTCATGCCAGTTAAAAGTTTTCTTAATTATCTGAATGGTTTCTGTTTCTTTTTGTTGTATGCTTACATGTTTCAGAGTGTTTTAAAAAAGAATTACATATAAGCTTTAAATCTAAATGTAAAATTGACCAACTGAATAACTTCAGATATTTTACATTTAGAATTCAGCTTAAATTTTATGTTATCTTCAACTATTAATAGATATATTTCTGTTATTAACTCAACCAACACTCTAAAGTCCATAATGTACAGTTCATTATAACTATTACCCCTGGGTTTTGATGGATAAATAAATAAGGCATGGTTTCTGCCTGTAAAACTATATATTGTTTAACAGATTAAAAAACACATTTGCTCTACATTCTATTTTTTTATCTCATTTATATATATTGTGGAGATCAAATGAGGAAAGACTTTTCAGACTTTTCAGCAGGATATTCGAGAATATTTCATCGGAGAGGAAATTATTAGAGTTGGTTCTTGAATGATGGCAGAATTGGCAGAACCAGAATAAACCAAAATTATACTAGATATGTAAGTGGGAGAACACCAAAGAGGAACACAAGGGAAGGGCTTCCTTGCAGTAACCCTTCACCCATTGTTTCAAGTCATGGTTCACAAGCCTACTGGTGTTCTGCTGTGGACATAGCACCATTTAATCTCTCTGAGTCCTCTTCCTAATGTGCTACTGCTTGATGCCGATCCCCTCACCCCCTCAGAACCCTCCCTGTAGGTGAGATACACATGCTTTTAAGACATCTAGATGTTGTCAGATGATACGCTAGCTTGATGCTATTTTCTTGTTGGAAAAAAAAAAACCCAAAAACAAATAAAAAAAACCAAAAACCTCTTCCCCTCTTCCATTGGCGTTCTTATAAATTGGACATAAATTCCATATAACAGTGTGAGATTTGAATATCATGTATGATGGCATCCTTATGCCAGCCTTTTGTGACACATATTTTAAAATGTAAGGTATAACAGCCTTACATTACAAGTAATTGCCTATTTTGTCAAATTTAAAAAGCATTTGGAAACAAGCATGTGTATGCATATGTGTTTATGTGTATGTATATGTAACTATTTATTGAAGTCTAATATACATACAGAAAATTCTACTTATCACATGTGTACAGCTCAATGAACTTTTGCAAATCAAGGTCATCTGTATAACTAGCACTGATGAAGACACAAAACATTGATGGCGCCACAGAACCACCCCCTTGTGCCATTTCTCCTCCCCTCAGGATTACCCCTATCCTAACTTCTAACACCCTAAGTTAGTTTTGCCCATTTTATAATTTAAATAAATGCTTTCATATAGTGTGTACTTTCTGTGTCTTTTTCAGTGCATTGATTTTTTAAATAAATTTATTGAGGCATTTTAATATACTATATAATTCACTCATTTCAAACATATAATCTTTTTTTTTTAGCAAATTTACCAAGTGATGCAAACATCACAATAAATCAGTTTTAAAATATTTCCTTCACTGAAATGAGATTCTGCATGTCAATTATTGTTAATCTCCATCTCCCTACCCACCTGATACAGTGATTAATCTTTCTGTCTATATGTTTATCTTAATGTATTATTTTTTAAGCTAAAAAATGACTGTTTGAAATCAAGTTAAATGTAGTGGGCTTTCAGTGGGAGCAGTATGAAAGACATATTGGCAGTTATTTCTGGAGTCACAAGCATAAAGATGTTAAATTTTGAATTGTTTTAGAGTCAAAGATTTCTAGACATTTAAAAAATTCTTTAGAATTTTCTATCAAATAGAGATGTTAAATGAACAGGGTAGGAGCATTATTTTTCTATTTAAATGAGAGATCTAAGTTTCATTTTAGTCTTTTAGTAGTATTTTAGAAATATTATATTTCTGCATATTGTCACGGGAACATGCAAAAAAAAGAAATTGTTTCTCACCTTTCTGTAAAGTGTTTTTCAGTTTACATCAGTAGCACTGCAGGGGATTTTATAGCTTACAAAAAGATCTTGGGCTCTTTTGTATTCATTCCTGGGGAAGGTAAGAACTCTTTTAATAGTAGTGGAAAAAGAAATGCCAATGGCAGATTTTGCATGTTCATGGCCTACTAGGTATTCTGCAATAACTGCGTGTAT